AACATGTTTTCCTGCCCAGTGGCATGCTCTAGGTTAGTTTGGCCGGCTCCGTGCGCACCACTTTCTCGCCACCGTCCTAGCATGAACCAGGACTAGTCCAAGGACCCAGTGAAGTAGCATACATAGATCCAGAGAATGTAGCACAAAGAACCAGGAGCCCCTGTGGCACTGAGCTGGTTGCCCCCTCGAGCACTGACTACTGTACATCCCTTCGAGCGAACGCTCCATTGCACCACTCCAGGTTGGCCTCTTGCTTACCCGGTCCTCATGAATTTGTACTTGCATCATTTCCTCGCTAATTTCCTGCATTTTGTTGTCTTCAACCTTTAATTCCCCGCTTCCGCAACACAACGACCAAGTAGCACTCCCGGAACCCAAACTTACCAAACCCCTTCCATCACGTTGCGGATATCGCGAATTAGATGGTCTCAGTAATGTCTCGGTAGCCGATTCCCCCAAAAGGCCTATGCTCCCAGGTTTCTCGGTGGCATGCTGAATTCCCTCTTCACTCCCTTTTCACATATCCATGTTTTCGAGTTGGTTCGGAATGTTTCAGTGTGGTACTTGAAATTGATTCACTTCTGCTTTCTGTTGCTCCTCATACTTTGGCTCAATTCCTTGGAAATTTCGCCATGAACGTCTGGATGCTGGAGATCACCTGCTCCGCTTCCATGTGCTCGCTCAATGCTTGCAGCTCCCTTGCCAATAAGCGAATCTCTATCTGGTGAGGTTCTGTCTTTTCTGCCTTGCACTCACTGGTCAATTTTGCCGCCTTCTTGGGGCACTCCTCCGTTCTGCCAATTTCATCCTCACGATTTGCGGTCGAGCGTCCATCGCTGCTTTCCCTCTTCTTTGTTTCTTTTTACAAAGTAGATCCCAGGTGAAGGAAACCGCGCCTAAACCCGTCAAGAAGTAGACACTACCCCACTGCACACTGCACACTCCAGAAGATGGACCCCCTTGCAGGAACAGGAACTCCCTTCTTCGGGGCGGACCCTCCCTTGGCTGAAAAACGGCAACGACGATAGGCCTCAAGCCTCCCTCGCAAAGGCACGTCCACCCCCCAGGCAGAGAGAACTCCACCCAGGGAGGGGGCCGGCCCAGCGAATGCCCTCCAAAAGGGAGCAGGGGAAGCTTGAGCCAAATGGCTCTCTCTCTCTCTCTCTCTCTCCCTCTCTCTCTATCTCTCTCTTTGCGCTTGTTTTTTTCTCTTTCTGAGCCTCTGCTGCCAAAGCCCTTGTTCAGGGCCTTGGCTGCCCCTCTCTGACCAAGATGAAGTGTCCCTCCCTCTCTCTCTATCTCTCTCTGCCCCTTTTTGTTGCTCTCTCTGCCTCTGCTGCCAAAGCCCTTGTTCAGGGCCTTGGCACCCCCCCTCTTACCCACAGAGGCCTTTCCCTTTCTTTCACCTTCACGCCACAAAGCTGAGCTGCAATTCACAAAGCTGAGCTCTTTGCATGGGCTCTCCAAACTAATCGAAATCCTCATCAAAGAGGTCAGCCTGAGCAATTAAAGAAGCTCCCCCAGCACTCCAAGAAAGTGATTCTCCTTGTCCTGCCCTGGGGGGCCTTCCATCCAGGAACTGCTTGCCTCTCAGCAACTTCACGTAGGTGTTCAATGTACTCAGGAAGTTGC